GTGATTTTAAGACCGGCTGTAACGTTTCCATGTATGACGTTTTACAGGGCTTAGTTGTAAAAGCTGGTTTTCAATATGACCCATAAAATGTTGGCATAATTGAGAGCTATTTTGGTACCCACTGCAGTACCGTTAACCCGAATGTAATGCTCGTTATCGAATTCGAAGTTGTTCAGACTTAAAATCAGGCTGGCAAAATCAGTTACTGTTTGAGATTCTGATTGGTTAGGAAGGTTTAATGCAAACTTTAGAGTTTGTAGTCCTCCATCATGTGAAATATTGGTGTAAAGGGAAGAAACATTCATCGTGTAAAGAATAATGTTGGGTGGTAACTGTCCATTAGTATTAATATATTCTATGATGTTAAGAAAGTGAGTAGTATCCTTTATGTAACAGGGGAGGGTACAGGGAATACATTTTATGTGTTGGTCAACAAAGCGGACAACTTTTCAGTAGCCATGTCGTATATGCCCTCCAGATCTAATATGTTATACCATATACGTCCTCTAGAGCTAACATGTTATATCCTATACATCCTCCAGAATTAACGCGTTATATCATATACGTCATATACGTATAAGATTATTTATATCAGACAGAATTAATCGAAAGTTGTTTAAACCACAAGACTGAGTTGTACTAAAAGATATATGTGACCTTTTATTTTTTATTTTTTCCGTTCTCAAATAAAATTGTTGAAGAAGACATCAGTAAATCTACTATATTATTGAATTGAGTTATACAAATAATACGATTCGAATAATTTTTGATAATTAATTAAACGTGTATTATGTTGAATTGATTTTCTTAAATTTCACCACTTACAATTTCTTTACCAGTTCGATTATTTATAGCCATATAAATGTGTATTATGTTGGACTGTTTTTCATGCATGTCTTTATTAACAATTTAATTAAGATTTCTGTTATTATTTAACAACCATCTAAGTGTGTATTACGTTGGGCTGTTCTTCACGAATGTTTCTAGTTACAACATAATTACGGTTTAAATTATTGTTTGACAATCATCTAAATGTGTATTTCGTTGGGCTGTTCTTCACGAATGTTTCTAGTTACAACATAATTACGGTTTAAATTATTGTTTGACAATCATCTAAATGTGTATTACGTTGGGCTGTTCTTCACGAATGTTTCTAGTTACAACATAATTACGGTTTAAATTATTGTTTGACAATCATCTAAATGTGTATTACGTTGGGCTGTTTTTCATGAATGTGTCGCTTGTTACAACTTAATTACGGTTCAGATCGTTATTTAATAACCATCAAAATATGTATTACGTTGGGCTATTTTTCACAAATAACTTATTTCTAATGACAATTTCAATAACTTTTTTTCGGGAATTTCTGTTACTACTAATTTTGTTAATAACATTTCCCTTTTAAAGATGTTTAAAATGACCAAATTTTGTTTTAGTTAAAAAATTTAGAAAATACAAAATCATTTATTATTATAGCTGGGCTTATAAATACACAAAAATAACTAATTAAACATTCATTTCAGTGTGTCGTGCCTTGGGTCTCCCGTGTCGTCTCGTGACCAACTATGTGTCAGCTCACGACACAGATAACACCTTGAGTGTTGACAAGTGGTTTGACAAAGATGGAGATGAAATTAAAACAAAAACAAATGATTCGATATGGTAAACATTTTACTTTATTATAATTTAACAGTATTAATATTATTGTCCTATGGACGCTATATAAAATGGAACCAAAACTGTGTGTGTATGTGTGTCAGTGAAATCAATAAGGCGAAATACACTTTTATTTACAAACGTTTCGGATGTTTCGGAATGCAAATACTACATTTTCAACAAATTATGAAAATAATGTTATGATTATAGTTAATATCATTAAATACTGTGATAATAACATCTATAATTAAGGTACTCGAACTATTCAATGAAAGTATACTTCCTTCTGTCGTTTAATCGAATGTTTCAAGTACCTTAATTAATGATATTATTACTACATTATTTAATGAAATTAAGTACAAATTTGTTTTCAGATTTCACTGAAGATTGAATAAGGGTGTTCCGAAACGTCCAAACGTTTTGTAAATAAAAATATTTTCGCCTTAAAGGCGCCCATCATCTTTACTATGTGTGTGTGTCAGTCTTAAGTTTCTTTTAGCTAAGAGTACGTGAAGTCATACATGTTACGCCAATTTAAAAAGAGTCACGACTAAAAAGTAAGTACTGTATATTACATAAATAACCAACCCTCACTTACTTATACTTATAATCGCTTAAAGGCGTTAGTCGTAAATATTTCACGTAATGATGATAACTCACGAACTGCTTGAAGCAAGGTCGTAACTCCCCCACATGCAAATGCACGTGCATGAGTGTTAATTCTCTAACTCTTGGCACGTTTTACTATGAGGAAAAGAAAAGAAAAGTCACAAAAAAGTTCGGGTGTGTAACGTAGGAGCTCCTAAGCACAGACGGTCAATAACACTTTCTCTGAAGGTTTTCCTAATTCAGTGACATGCCGCTGAAGTTGCAAGCCATGTCCCCTATATATCATTGGTCAAGGAAAATTTCAGTCAAATCGGATGTACAAAAACCCTTCTGAAGATAAATATTCATACAGAGGGAAAAAACTTGCACAGCAAAAGGTTGAGGGCAGTAACAAGATCCAAAACCACATCTGCAGTAACCTTTCTTCTGCAAACTGAAAGATATGGTTATGAAAGAGAACCTTTTGACCCCAAAAAGAATTGTAATGAAACTGAGAATATCTCTTGGTACCGCGCACAAAATGATAAACAAAGATTTGAAGATGATGAAAACTCAAAAATCAAAACTTCACAAGCTTTTAGCCATTCCTCTAAATAAACTACTATTTTCACGAGAAAAATGTCCGAAGAAATTAGAATCACAACATTTTATTCGACCACAGACATGTCGAGCACCCGAAGCAGCTCCAGTGGACTGTTATGTCTTTGGTCTGCTTAAAAGTGGTATTGGAAGTTGACGTTCACGTACTTTAGAGTATCTATGAAAAGTTTGTTAATTTGTTTAGTCAAAAAAGTGAATATGTCATATTTTGCAGTAGACTGTTGCAATAGAAATTGCGATATCAGGTAGTAGTGCGTAATCATTTAGCCATAAGACTGAAACTGAATTTATCGTGTAACTACACAGCGGCTTAATTCATCAGAATTAAGTACTCTTTTTTATTATTATTAAACTGATGCCAGACATGATACCCATGTCGTATAACTATCACATGATCATGGTTCCAACTAGAATCAGTCTTCCAAGGTTGTCATGAAAGCTAAGAAAATATAAAACGTTCTAAAAGAAACAATGTTTTCTTCCCAATACACCTCGTAGAAAAAGGCGTTGCAAAGCGCGACAATACAAGTGTTGTTATTAGTCGATTATTTGTGAAAATTAAAGAGCTCCAAATAGTTGTATTTCCAGTTCCTTATTACCTTCAAATAACATGCTCAATAGTGTCAAAATCTTAACAGGTTTTTTAATGATAATTATCTGTCATTTACCCTTTTAGTTGGCAAAGCATTAAAGGTAGAGAGAATTATTTATAAAGAATAATTTATAAATAGCAGATGTTTCATTTACATTATGTCTATTTGACGTAAAGTTATTTTGCAAAAAGCTGCTCACAGTGTTTAGTGATGACTTTATATACATCTCTTAAATAAAGGTTGTATTTTTGCTTGCTTGTTTGTTTGGAAGTAAGCACAAAGCTACACAATGGGCTATCTGTGCTCTGCCTACCACGGCTATCGAAAGCCGGTTTCTAGCGTTGTAAGTCCGCAGACATACCGCTGTGCCACTGGAGGGCGGTTGTATTTAAAAAAAAAAAATACATGAAAGTAGTAACTGTAAAGAAAGCCCAAACTCCTAGATGTATGAAAGCAGTAACTGTAAAAAAAGCCCAACTCCTAGATGTATTAAAGCAGTAACTGTAAAGAAAGCCCAACTCCTAGATGTATGAAAGCAGTAACTGTAAAGAAAGCCCAACTCCTAGATGTATGAAAGCAGTAACTGTAAAGAAAGTCAAACTCCTAG